CGTTAGCCCGAGAGTTCACCCAATGCGTACCCGAAGAGTAGCGGCTGTGAATTCCCCCGTAAAAAAATAAAATAATAATAATAATAATAAATTCAAAATGAAATTATTTCCCACACTATTGTCCAACTTTTTATTTTTACCAAAATTACTATTTACTAGTTATAATTTTTTGCAATAAGTGTAACACACATATACCATCGAGCATCGGCTGTTTCCATCATCTCCGCTATTACCACCACAAAGCGTCATTACACCATCTCAAACCCATTGAAAATCACTACAAAAACAGCCATCAAGACCATCATTGCCACTAGCCATCACCGCAGCCACAATTTCCCTTTATCTTTACCAAAAATTCCATCATTTCCACCACCCCACAATTACCCTTTATCTTTACCAAAAATTCCTTCATTTCCACCACCCCTCACTGTCATCACCACCACCAATGTAGACTCCAACATAAGAACAATTACTATAAACGTGGAATCCTTGAAAAGCATTTACCATATTGGGAAAAAATTTCAAAGAAATCAAGACCGAGATATGTGATAATGGCAGTTCCACATCTAGATGGTGTGAAAATAGACGATGGTAGTTTATGGACAATGATGGCTGGTGATGTCGAGATGTTAATGAACGATTAAGGTTAGTGACATCGGGACGGTCTTATCACCATCACCATCATATTTGCCCGAGTCCGCTCCTTTCTCGTTAACATTGGAGTTCGCTCCACGACATATGAGTTTGTACACACCATCTCAAACCCATTGAAAATCACTACAAAAACAGCCATCAAGACCATCATTGCCACTAGCCATCACCGCAGCCACAATTGCCCTTTATCTTTACCAAAAATTCCATCATTTCCACCACCCCACAATTTCCCTTTATCTTTACCAAAAATTCCTTCATTTCCACCACCCCTCACTGTCATCACCACCACCAATGTAGACTCCAACATAAGAACAATTACTATAAACGTGGAATCCTTGAAAAGCATTTACCATATTGGGAAAAAATTTCAAAGAAATCAAGACCGAGATATGTGATAATGGCAGTTCCACATCTAGATGGTATGAAAATAGACGATGGTAGTTTATGGACAATGATGGCTGGTGATGTCGAGATGTTAATGAACGATTAAGGTTAGTGACATCGGGACGGTCTTATCACCATCACCATCATATTTGCCTGAGTCCGCTCCTTTCTCGTTAACACTGGAGTTCGCTCCACGACATATGAGTTTGTATGTGTTCAATTGGCTTTTGCCCAAGGGAATTATGTTATGTAATTGGGATTGACTTTTAAAACAATACAGTTAGAATTAAAAATAAATAAATAAATAAGGGATAAATAGTAAAATATGAAAAAGGAACGTGAAACATATTTTTCACTTGAAAGGTGTATACAGCTGGCTTTGCAATGCAAGTATAACGTGTCTTGAGTTATTCTAAGAAAAATTATGAGCATTATCAAGCTTTTTTTGTGGATAAGTTTTTCAAAGATGGTCTTATACGTACATAAAATAAGATTGTTCATTGATGATATCTCGAACCTCGAGATATTCGATATTCAAATTATTATATTTTGATGTTGTACTCCTCCCTTGTTTCTCCCTCTTACCATTTCGGACAATGAGGTGTCACAATTTGAGTAGTTCAAAGTTTGAGGTATCATGATTTGAATAGACGGTCTTATTATTTATGTTATATGACCGTCCTTTTGAAGTTTTTCTACTTCCGATGATCTATAACAAATTTTTGGGTCATTGACACGAGTACGTGAACATTTTTTAAAATTAAATTATCTAAAAATATTAGCCCATACATATCAATCTATACACATTTTTATCTTGCTTTTTGAATAACCTAAGTTGTGCTTGTCTCAACACGACCACTTGTCACCCTATCTTCTACCCTCTCTAGCATAAGGCTCAACTCTTCTGAGAAATTTGTTATTTTGATTTTTCTCCACTACATATTAGAAAGGATTTTGTTCTATTTAAGGTTTGTTTGTTAAAATCTTTTTAAAATATCATTTCTTCCATATTTATGTTTAAACTACATATTTTATAGGATTCCCAATTTTTCCTCACTTTTTAATAACACATTTCAAAAAAAAACAAAAAACGAGTTTTCCCTTGAAAAATATATGCTAAGCAAGCTTTTAGAAAGAGGTCAAATTTCTCGAACCCTATCCAAATGTTAGATTTCTTTAGTTTTTAAATTTTAAATATTTTAAATGGTTTTAGTTTGTGTAATTTTTTATTTATTTATTGAGCTACTTTCTTTATTCTAGAATTTTCTTATGTGTTTTTTACAGATTTTCCTTATTGTTTTATTAGGAAATGCAGCTTTTTACATCTAGTCAAGCGTTTATTACTTTCCTTTAGATGAATTATATTCCTTGCTAGATTTTATTTTATAGTTATATAAAGAATCGGAAAAAAGTATTTAATTAGTTCACATGTTTTCAATATTCTCAAATTGGACTAGAAACTCAACTATATACCTTATTGTTCTTGTGAAGAGTATGAAAGGAAATTAAATGCTAATTGAATTTTAAAAATTCAAGAAAAAAAGATGTTGAGAATTATGAAGATTAACTCTATTTCACAGAGAGCAACCAATTAGGGCCTGTTTGATTCGTGGGATTTTTTATAAAATTCATTTTCCACATTTTTGGTTGTTTGATTGTAATTTTTTTTCTTGGCAATTCATTTTCCTCCCCCTCCTCCTCTCTCCACGTTACCTTTTTCCTTGGTTTTGTGGAAAACCAATTCTCGTGGGTTTGGTGGGATTTGTTTATTCCAGCGTTTTTTTTTCTAATTTTTTCTATATTTTTTTTTTTATGTAAGAGAAAATTTTTTTATCCCTTTAATTGACAATTTTCATTGAAAACAAATCCAAACGAATTTCAAAAGATCCAAATTTTTAATATTTTTCAGGTAGAAAATTATACTAATCAAATATATTTAATTGACAATTGCCATTAAAAAAGCTCTAAATAATTCAATTCCTTGAAATTCATTTTCTTTCCATCCAAATTCCATTCGTGTAATCAAACAGACCCTTAGAAGAACGAAAAATAAATATGCAAGATTTATAGAAGTTCAACTCAATATAAGACTAAGTTATCTCTTGTCACTACAGTAATTCGTTATAATAATAAAAAAAAAAGGTTTATAATAGAAAATTGTATTCCCATCTTCTCTAACTTATCTTTCTTCCCTTTTTGAAGATAATAAAAATGGCCAAGGACGGCTCCCTATTTGTAAGATAAATTGGGACAAAATCTAATTTTATAAGGACTCCAATTCTTCTTATAAGAATACAAATTTCTAAATAGATTTTAATGAAATTTTAGTTAGAGCCCCCAGAACCCACTAGGGAGGGGAGGGGGGGGGTTCTCCTGCTCCCCTTCTAATCTCCACAATGACCTTATCGCAGAGGTCAACCCGCGACCAACCACGCAAAGTGGCAATAATTTAGGCTTCACAACTATGACCCTATTTGACAATCATCATTTCAATACTCTTTTTTATATCCTCATTTTCAACCGCACATTCGCACAATATAATATCCTATACATAAATTCAAAACTTTTACCTACTTTTTAACTACACATTTGTCAAAACATCATTATTCAAAACTTCATTTTAACCAAATAATAATTGTTTAAGGACCATTAACCTTTATTGGATGAGATGTGTTTCTGACGACCGGATTAAGAAACATAAAAAAGGAACGAAAAAGGGGGATAAACATTCATCCATTTGGACAAGCAACAACTCACCCTCTTGACTCCATCGATATCAAAAGTAAAAATACTATACTTGAAGAGTGAAGACACCGTTTTTAGTTTGTCAATTTCTATTTTTTAAAAACAAAAAGGTTGAAAATTCAAAGAAGCAAGAATATATTAAAAAAGAACATATATAAAAGAAAAGTTTCTTGTGTTCAACTTCTCTTCATAATATTTACAACAATTAGACACGCATAAAAATGTTTATAGGTCCTATCTTTGCAAACGTTTACAACTCAAACGAATATCATACCTTAAAAAATTTTTAAAATAAAGATAATATCGGTACAAATACCGTCATGATAAGTCATACCATTCTTTTGTGATTCTCAAATAAAACCACACATAAAATATTTTTGGCTCAGTATGAATACAATTAGCTTGATCTAAAGAAGGATGATATGGAGAATTTGTTTTTAGTGAAGAAAAAAATTCCAAAAAGAATCTTTAAGACCTAATTGACACTGGAGCCAAAGTTTGGGACTATGTACATATGATATAATTATTAGTAGAAGTCTTAGACACTCAACTAATACAATAAATTATGCTTCAGTTCTCCATAATTATCCATTAATTATTTTGCTGTACCTTTCACACACTGAACTAACCGACTTTTGTCATTACAAAATTGTGATTAGCAGAGAAATCTTTTGATCTCAAGGCACTTTTCCTTCTCTTCTACCGTTTTTCTTTTTTTTTTTTTTTTTTTTTTTTTTTTTAATAAATAAAAAAATCACTTTCAAAGATAAGTTCATCCTTTATTACTAAAGTCCCATGCTTTCAAATCGGCTACGAATTTGATCGACAAAAACATCATCGTGTAATACAGTTAGAAAATCGTCTCAAGTAATATCCTTGTATTAATTTATGAGGTTCTTACATGTTCTCCTTCTTAGGAGATGGTCATGCATCTTATGAATTTAGAATAGAGAGAAATAATGTGATAAGAGTGACATTGTTTTAAATGAGTGTGAAATATAACTCAATAGTCAATACACTTAATACTGCTTTTGTTGGGTTCCTTGGAATATCCGAATATGATCCACCCATGAAGCTTTTTCCTACTCTTATGTTGTCACAATCAAAGAAACAAAAGAAAAACAGGGAAGCCGATTATCATTAATCATTGAACTCAATTTCACATCTAAAGAACACAACAAGTAGATTATGTTCAAATTGCAGCCAACATATGTTCACATCTATTCATTTTGGCTATAAATATGCCAAGAAAATTGATGTATAATCCACAAGTGAACTCAGTACAAGAGAAAAAAAACTCGAAAAATAAGAATATAGATAATAATGGAGATGAAATTCGACAGCTCCATCGCGGTGAAGTTCTTGCTATTGCAATGCCTATTGGTGTTATGTGTTGCACAAGATTTCGATTTTTTCTATTTTGTTCAACAGGTAATAAAGTCTTTTAAATTTACCTGAAATTTTGGTCTATAAATTTGAATATTAACAGTTTATTCATGTATTTAATTTCTTGATGAACAGTGGCCAGGATCATATTGTGACACAAAACAAAGCTGTTGCTATCCCACAACGGGGAAGCCCTCCACAGATTTTGGAATCCACGGACTTTGGCCTAATAACAATGATGGTTCATACCCTTCGGACTGTGATTCCAGCAATCGTTACGATCAAAGAAAGGTACGATTTGATAAATTAGAGTCAATACGAATCATTTTTCGTCTATCAAAAGATCGAGCAAACCCGTATGCTAAAATCTCTCTTTTTTAAGTCTAGATCTCGGATTTGATTAGTCGAATGCAACAAAGTTGGCCAACGCTTGCCTGCCCGAGCAACAGTGGTTCATCATTTTGGTCACATGAATGGGAAAAACACGGCACATGTTCAGAATCTGTGCTGGACCAACATGGCTACTTCAAAACTGCCCTTGACCTCGGAGCTCAAATAAACCTTCTCCAAATCCTTCGGAGTTCAGGTAAATATTATACAAACAATCCGTTTTTCGACTCAGTTTTCTAAATTTATCGGGAATAAGGTCTTAGACGATGTCATGTTTTTCAGGGATTAATCCAGATGACAGTTTTTACAGCTTGAGCAGCATTA